CCCTCCTGTTCTGTGTCACAACCCATTTTCCCTTTTTAGTAGGCTTTGCCTACTTTCAATTGTGTGATTTGCTCTTGCCTTATTGGCTTATAGCTCTGATCTTATATACATTCTATTTTCCTGGCATTTCTTCACATTTCTATTACATTGCTAGCCCTCTCATTTTTTTAAATACTGTATCAGGTTTTCCTGTTTTCCTTCTGCTCTAGCACTTTATAAGATTTAGAGTTGATAGGGAAAGTAGAGGCTTCTGTTCTGTGTGCTATCTTGATCCAATCTCACAAATATTATTTAAAGCAAACACAAAAACTCTTGTAACCTTTTTCTTGTCCCAGTTAATTTTCCTTAAAGGAAGGAATGTTGTAATCATTTCTGGGATGGTGTGACAGTTGCAACATGTCTTGTACAATTAGTCATTCACAGGAAAAAAATATTAATCCATAAGGTTTTTCAAAATATCAGCTCTTTTCTGTTTTCTGACATGAGAGTTTTGTGATGAGCCTTTCAGTATTAAAAACTAGCTTCTAGGGGTTATAAAATAGAATTCAGTGAAAACCAATCTTTTTTGCTTTGAATTAAAACAGATTAGGGACAAAAGAAGAATCTTTTTTAAATGACTAGAAGCTAGAAGAGAGACTAACAATTCCTGTGTTTTCTAGAGATGTTTTATAGTCTTTCAAACATGTTAATGCATGTAGGCTTATGTGAATAAAAAGCCAAAGTGTTAACCAAACATGGTGGCATGTTGTAATTCCAGCTACTCTGGAGGCTGAGGCAAGAGGATTGTGAATTTGAGGTCAGCCTGGGCAACAAAGTGTGATCTCAAATAAAAACCCCCAAAACAAAATAGCAAAACACAAAAACTGAATTGTCGGTTGACTAAGGTCATAAAAGCAGAATGTAAAGTGGGTCTAAAATCAAGACTGCCTGGGTTAGTGCCTAGACTGTGAGTCACTTAAGGTTCCCTATTCCATGTTCTGTGACATCACACCGGTAGTTTATAACTGGCCATGGTGGAAGCACTTACATCATGGAAATTGGCTACAAATTAGACTCTCAGATATTGGTTCAAATCAATTTCTTCTTTTGTAAATTAGTAATCATAATAGTTCCTATATCATAAAGGAGAATATGTGAATGTACATATGTAATCATTTAGTAACTTGCTTAGCAGAATCTAGCAGTGACTGCTACCACATGGTCAGAATCTATACTGATCAGTCCTTTATACCTTGTCATGTTAAGTATATACTACTAGTGTAAGACCTTTAAGTAAAGTCTCCTGTTATTCCCAACTCTATTTTGATGAAGCTCATCTCATTCTGGTTTAGTGAGCTCTTCCAGTAGATGAAGCAGAATATAAAAGCTAAGATAACAATTACAAGGAATCCTAACTGGTCAAGGCCTGGTGGTAAAGCAGCTGTGTCAGCAGAGATCTCCAAATTTCTAAAAGCATATTTCCAGCCTCTAATAGCCAAGAGATAGAGACTATCTCTTGCTAGTCATAGGAGTTACTGCAGATCAGTTAATGAACCTGGTGAAGGTTATTTACTCCTGTAAATATGGGAGTAAACATATTATGGGTCACTTCCCATAACAGCAATGCCTTATGTTGGCACTTTATAGTTTAGCATGCATACATATCCTGGTTTAATTCTCATAACTATCCTGGGAAGTGGTAGATGAGGAAATAGGCCCAAAGGCCTGGTTAATCTGAGATCCAATATACTTTGACCTTTAGAAATATAAATCTCAGGACCACTGTATTTTGAAAGGGCTAATCTACTATCCAAACATTAAGATTTAGAGTCAGTTGTTTCCTCTTGGTTGTTATAATCCTAATTAAAGCATATCATCTTGCTATTCAATTAGCCTTTCAGGGTTTTTGATCTATATAGATGTATTTTTCTAGTTATTCTCTTGTAACATTGATTACTACAGAATTCATTTTACAGCAAAGGGGATAAAGGCTTCAGGAGATGAATTTGCCTAAGAGAAGCAAGAAACTCAGAGGAGACTTCTTTGTATCACACTGTACTCCGAATCTGTCAGCACAAAGTATGTCCTTTTCCTCAACTGATAAAAATAACTGCTTGCATAGCTCCTGAGTTTCAGGAGGACTAAAGCTGTTTCTTTTACCTTTGGAAGACGAAGGGTCCTCCAAATCTATCTAATGACCCTTAATATACTGACAAATTCATGATTTGTATTCAAACATTAATGGGAAATGAGGCTCACTAGTAAAGGCCTAGTCATTTTACCAAGTTTTTTACTCAATTGATGTTCATTGTATCAGGTTTTGACTTGTGTCTAGAAAACATTTGGATACAATAAGAAAGCAGGAATCTGCCAATCTAGGTCTGGGGTAGATAAGATGATCCTGCAAGACTAATCACAGGGCTTCCTCTAAGACTGGCAGCCACATACAAGTTCCTCAAGGAAAAGAGTTCCTACTTCTAGAGATCATCTTCCCACAACAAGCATGTGTTATTTCAAAGGGGACTAATCCTAGGAAAGAGGGAAGGGTACAGTAAAAAATCAGAACAGTCCAGTAACTGTTCAGCAGAATTCTGAGGAAATAACTGATTATGGTTCTGCTACTGTGTAGCACTGTTGTCTTAAAGCAAGTTTGTTTTCTCACTGATTCAAAAAGAAGTTCTACTTCTTTTCTAGGGTCTAGATATCACAGTCTATGTTCTGTATATAACTTGTAACTTTACCATGGAATATAAAAAGAGAAGACACTCCTCTTAAAGAAAGTATCAATGATTAAGGGGAATTAATATTTTTCCCTTGGTTCACTGTTACTCTTAGGGCTTAAATTGTGATGAGATTTCTTAGAATTAAAAAAATAATTTCTTGGACACTAAGCTTACTCCTTCAAAGATAAACTCCTATTACATTGCACAAAAGCTTCACAAAATAGTTCCTCTCCATTCTCATAGTCTTTAAAAAAGTCAAACTAAAAATCTCTTATTTGTATAATATTTTATAATTTATGAAGTCTTCACATATACATTCCCTTGTATAAATGTCACAGAAAGCAAACTGTAATGTGACAATATTGATCTGTGTTCCAGGCTATATTACTGGTAATGGGGAGTACAGGGGGATCTAGAATAGAACAGGGCTCATTTTTTTGTTTTTGTTTTTCAGACAGTCTTACTATGTAGCCCAGGCTGGTCTCAAACTCATGATCCATCTACCCCAGCCTCCTGAGTGCTGGGGTTACAGTTGTGCACCACAATACCTGGCCTAGAACTTGAGTCTTCTGAGCCCAAGCATTCTTTCTCACACATACCAGCCCACCTTTAAATGTAAGAAATTTTGTTCCACAGCATTTCCATTACTTTGTTCAGAAAAAAAGTACTTAAAAATCCTGAACAAAAATTCACAAAGATAAAATTACTTGCTATCAGAGTCTTACCAGTGGCATACCTGATTTCCAAAGCCACAGGGTCAGGCCTCTGCATGTTCAGTGCAGTGCAGGTGTGCTCTACACCCCATACAGTCACTGCTCACAGCCTTCTGCCCAATCAACTACATTATGAAAGAGGCAGGGTAATACATTACCAGAGACCTGAATAAGTGACCTCACAAAGTGAAATAGACCTTTCAGAAAGCACACCCGAGTGCAAGCTGTTCCATCCTCTGTCTGGGAACTGGTAATGGAATATTAAGAAGCCCAAACTGAGATTCCTGCTATGAAACTAACAACACAAAATACTGTAATTTTATAAAAGTTTGTAAAAGATTGTTGATTGGCTATGTTGAAGCTATCTGGTTAGAAACTACATACTGAAAACTTAAATACCTGACATCCATTCAAACTTTTAGAAGTTGAAGACTTGTGAACCTGGCAGACAGAACAAGAGTTTAAACACCAACAAAAGATCTGAGAACATTAGACTATTGTGAAAACCATTATAATTTGATGACTATTCAAAGTCTTGCAGTTAACATTCTTGTTAGGACCACTGACCTTTTTCTAAAATTGACTTCATGTTTCCTAAATATGAAAAGGATTTTTAAAACTATAACACAGTATGTAAATTATTAAGATTTTGGAAGCAGTAAGTCTAAAGATATTACTTAAAAGAATCTTCCTAGTTTTAATTCTATACTCGAAAAGAAATAACTGAACTTATACAGAACAGAACAAATCATTACAGACTGGGATCAATCACACCAGCATTACTTTCTACCAGTTCCTACCTCTAAACTTTAAGTCATTCATTCCTTCATGATACAATTATCTCAGCATTATTGCAACATCATTTTCTATGAAGATATTCTTCCAAACTTTGTAGGGAACTGTATTGGTAAGGAAGAAATAAAGCTTCCATCAATGAATACTTGATTTAAATGATACCAAAAATGATTTCAGAGATTTATTGCAAATTAATTATTGTCTGCAAAACTGACAATAACTGTTATTTCCTCAACACAAGAATAATCTTTAACTTCCCATTCAAAAGGAGATAAACCAAACAACAAAACCCAAGAAATGAGCCAGAAAGGTGTTACTTATCGCCTGCTCCAAGAAAAAGAAAAACTGATAACAAAGGTACAATCTATGTAACTAGATATTTTTCAAAATTATGTCTTTCATTTCTAAAAGCATAAAGAGCTATATGTCACACTTAATACTGTCAGAGATTCTATACCAGATAACGACAGCCTCAGTACTTTCTCTTCTGCTATTATATAGCAAACTTTAAATATAATTTCTTACAGTAAATTCATGTGCTCCTGAAAATATATACTAAAGTTGAATGGGCACAGGTCTACATTAAGTATTTCTGGGGGGAGGTGAAGAAATTATTTCTCAAAAGCAAAACTCTTTGGTGATAAGTATTTTGCAAATACTTACTAATTTTATTTTCTTTTTCAATAGAACAAGATAACTTGAGTCCAATGAGCATCTGATTTGTCACATATTTTGATTTCCAACCTTATGCAACACTGTTTTTCACACTTATGGTTTTCCTTTTTCTTAGTCATTTTTACAGTGAGTACATGAATTTTTTTATACAAAGAAAGTGTGACCCTGCTGAAACTGAACTTTTGACTCACAGACATTGCCACTGTCAAATAACTTGAGATGTTATCTTTGGTACCGACACACAAAAAAATAAAGGGAACTATGTGGCTCAATTTATGAAAATGGAATATACAAAAGTGGAGAAATACTTGATATAATTACAATTAATAACTTTAGAGCTGGAAGAAAATTCAGAAATCATTCAATTCAAACTTAATTCCTAGATAAAAGAATGAAGCATAGACTTGGCTAAAATGGCTTTTCATTGGTGCCAGAACTAAAACTAGAGTTGGGTGTAATATTTCTAATCAATTATTCCTGACACTACACAGTACTCATAGCTGAGAAGTTTTGTTATTATTTAGAATTCTCTCTCAACAAATCTAACACATTTGTTAGGACTTTTAAAACATAATAAAGATACTAAAATTCTGGTTGCTAATCTTCCTTCTTAGTTCAAACTCTGTTGAATAAAAGGCAGTTAAAATCTTAGGACAAAAGAACAGGATGAAGGAAATGAACAATTTAAAGTGGACAAAAATCAAGATCCTCTAGTTCTATTCTTAAAGAGTTTCACCTATGTTTCAGCCATGTACAGAAAGTTGTGGATCTCAAGATGCGGAGTTGATTCAATGCAAAATTTGGGTCATTTGAGTGCTTTGCCTTCATGACTACTACAACCATGAAATCAATTTCTCTCAAAGGTAGGTTTACTCTTAAAGAGCTTACACGCATAGTAGTTTCAATCAATGAAAAAATAGGAGCTTTCCATTTATTCAAATATAGATGGAAAGAAAATAATGTAGTGAAGTAAAAATTAACCAAGGGAAAATTTTTCACTGACAGATTATCAAAACATCAGTTTGTAACACCTAGGAAGACCTACAGTATGCCCTTGTATGGTATATTTAAGGCACAGAGCTTTACATTTTGAGGTGACTGCTCACAACAGGAGCTTAAAGAAGGATATGAAAAAAAAAAAAACTTTGTAAGAGACAGAAAAATTCAAATTGCAAGGAGTAAAAATGAAAATTTGAAAAGTTAACATGTATTTGTTTTTATTTATAGATAACTACCACATGAACTATAATGAAGAAAAAGGATGTTAGAATGGAACTTAGATAAGTGGGTTCATGGGTGATAAGAACACTGTTCCTACACATTATAGTTAATAAGAACATTTTCAGTACAACAGGGAATTGTGATAATTTTAAAATATGCAGATCTTAATTTGTGCTTTAGGAAAAAAACCTTTATAGTATTGTAAGTTGAAAAGAATTCAAAAGAATAACTAATATTAAACATACACCTATGTTTAGAATTCAGAAAAGGCTGGATTCTGTAAAGTCAGCTGGCTGTATTAAAAATGACACAAATTCAAAACAAAATGCAGGTAATATAAAAAGGGACATTGTTAGATTTGCTTACTGCATTAAATCCACAGTTTAATCCATGAAATTTCCTTTTAATTATCATTTAGACAGAAGCATGCAAATAGTCTTAGGATCTACTTAAGCGTCTTCCCCAAATCCACTAAAGCTACACTCCCTTTTCCGGAACTAAGCTGGTATTCGGGTCGCCGCTTCCTCCTCTGCATCAGCTCGGTTTGCATTAATTTCTGCAAGTGTTCTGCCAAATCGTGCCCATTCATCATTGCGTGGAACAGCAATCTGCTGTTAAAAGAAAGACAATGTTTTATGTGCAATGAAATAAAAGATCGTCTTACCTACTATTATTCAGTTTGTTTTCAAATAATTTTTCCATTAAAAATGTACTAACTGACCTGAATGATCTTTCCATAATTACAGGGACAATAACAATGATTTACAACATTTCAAAACAAAAAATGGTGTTTGTGAAATATATTGTGACAGCCTCAGAAATGACTTTGCTATTATCACCACCAGTGCAAGACAGAATAACAATGATGCTTTGTAAATGTAACTCCAGTGTACCATCTCAGATTTTGCTGGTGGGGCGGAATTCCTTTAGAAATTTTACTTTTTTCTGACACCATTCCTAGTACGAGATAGTTCATGAAGCATGCTTCATTAGAGCTGGTTTCTTAGAAGTATTTCTAGAGCATAGCCACACTTTTTTGGTTTGATTTTGCCTGGCCTAGCCTGGACCATGACCTCCTATGCTTTCTTGCTTAGGTGAGATGACATGTTTGTACACTATGCACAACCAGTGGCTGAGGTGGGGGTCTCACGGACTTTTTTCTTAGGTTGCCCTCAAACCACAATCCTCCTAATCTCCATCTTCTGAGTAGCTAGGATTACAGGTGTGAGCCACAGCACCTGGCAAAATAACCTTTCTTGATACTCCAATTTCTTCATTAGAAGTTAATACTTAGCAATTATTGTTGTATCAAGAACAGAAGAAGAAAAATGAGAAGCTTATGGTGCTTTTGTCTCATAGAGGCAGTCCAATTATAATCGTTTTTGGGGGGAGGTGGGACTGGGGTTTGAACTCAGAGCTTTGTACTTGCAAAGCAAGGGCTTTACCACTTGAGCCACACCTCCAGTCCCTTTTTTGGCTCTGGGGGGGGGGGGGCGCGCTAGTGATCTATTTGTCCAGGCTGGCCTTGAAAGGTGACCCTCCCAATATCAGTCTCCCAAGTAGCTATACAGATGTGTGCCACCAGTGCCCAGCTGATAATTTTTTTTTAACATTATAATATCACAGAGGTGTGACATTGCCATGATAGGGCACAAACCAATCACTGGCAAATGGATGTACTTCTACTCTACACAATCCAATAGGGTAGCTATGACCCAAATGTGACTATTTGCTTAAATTAATGAAAATTAAATAAAATTAAAATTTAGTTTTTCAGTTTTACTAGCCACATCTTTTCAATGGCCGTAAGTAGATAGTGGTTACCATATTAGATAGTGCAGACACAGAAACATTTCCATCTGCACAGATAGCTCAACTGGCTGTTCTAAATGACTCAATCTACCTCCCTCCAGATCCAATTGTTACAGGCTAGGGGGCATCTGGATAGGATGGGGAATCGTGACAGATAATGGAGGAAAAGGTGACTAAGGCACTAATGAGGGCTAAACAGGAGGAAATCAATCCTGGGCACTGTGTATAGCCAAGGAAAGCCCTGAAAATGTTAGAGCTGCAACTCATCCTGTTGAATTCAATCGTAATGGCCTGGAACAGTCATCAGAAAATTCTCAGAAGAGAGTACTTCTGAAAAAAGAAGACAAGAACATAAAAGGCAGACTATTTATGAGGGTAAATGGGAGGCAGAAGGGAGAAAAATAGAGGGCAAGGGGAGTGGAATATGATAAAAATACACTGTATGTATGCTAAAAGGTCATAATGAAATCCATTTTTTAAAAAGTGTAAGAAAGATAAGAAAAAGTAGGAAAGGGAGAGGGAGGATAAGAAAGTATAATTAGAGGGGATGAATATGATTAAAGTATATTATATGCATGTATGGAAATATCACAATGAAACCCCTCACATTGTACAATTAATATGCACTAATAAAATAAAAAAGAGACACTACTTTTGGTTTTTCCACCTAGCTCAAATAAATTAATGAATAAAGAAAAATAAGACCATATCTTAATATGAACTCTGTAAAACCCCAAAGTCTGTCTATAATTCTACATTTCTTTTTTATGCCTGAAGAATTTCTAGCAACTCTTGCTTCAAGAAACAAGGTACTTTTAACATGTATTATCCTTTTGTACGGGAATATAGCACATTCAGTTTAGAAAGAAAATTAACCTTAAAAGTTGTTTCTGTGGTGGAAACAACCATATGGTTTATACAGTTCATGAACCACAAAGACTAGGTTTAGCCACAAAGATACTTTCATTACAACGCCAATAAATAGGTGTATCAAAGTCATAGGCAGCAAGCCTCATACCTCTCCCACGTCATATATAACAATCTGTCCTTCAGAATCACCCACAGCAATCTCTCTTCCAGAATGGGTCCATCTTACACGATTAAGAGCAGGATTACCCTCCACAGAAATGCTGGCAGTTGGTACCTAAAGTCATTTAAAATATAGTGCAATGTTAAAAGTCTCATCAAGAGTTCTATATACATGTAAAACAGTAATTCTTCCAATCTGACTATATTTTTAAAAAACAGATGAGAATAAAGAATTTTCCCAAGTTTCTTCCTGTTCAGCAATATTTTGTGAATGACATTATAGTCAATCTTTGAAAGTGGTCTAGGAAAATAACTTTGTCTTTATATAGGAAATTCTCACATGAATGGATATATCATTGTGAAGGATCTTCTCTTTAATAAAGGATTCTTTGTGCTTAACTTTTTTTTTTTTTGGCGGCACTGAGGGTTTGAACTTAGGGCCTCATGCTTGTTTGCTAGGCAGGCGCTCTGCCTAATGAGCCACTCTACCACCCCTGTGTGCTTAACTTCTTTAAGTAGTCAAGTTGTTTGAAAACACGGCCAAAACCCATTTAAAAGGAAAATATTTAAAAAATTCTCACAAATCGATCAGGATTTAATTTTAGAGAGGAATTACTTTTGTAACTTGTATCTTTGACAGCTAAAACCTGTATTTGACCAACAGTTCCTAGAAACAGTTCATACTGAAGATATTCATACTACAAGAGTCTAAATAAAGCCCCTAATTCCTGTGAATTGGCCAAATACAGGCAGGATGAGGAAGCAACACAGTGGCACCAGTCCCTTAGAATCTAACTGTGCCTTTCTTATGCTGGGGGAAGAAGATTTACTTGCCATACATGGAACAACATTCATTGTTTGGTTCAGACTAAAAGCACAATTAAACTTTTAAAACTTTGAAATCCAACCAAATAATTCTTATAGTTAATATTAGTCTTTCCCAAATGATTAGCCCAAAATTATTATAAACATATTTTGATATAATCTTAACTATTATGGGAAAGATTTAATAATTAAAACATTATTTAATATTAATTAAAACATTTAATAATTGCCAGAAATCTTTGATATCAAAATCCAAACTAAGAAAATAAAAATTGATACCATTCTAGGTAGCCAGAAAATATATAATCAAGTCCTATAATCTGACTAGGGCTTAAGATCTTTTCTAGCAGTATTTGAATGTTCCTCCCCCAAACAACTATGCCAATAGATAACAATTTTAAAATTCTTACATTTCCAACTCATAATTTCCTTGCCCTTGAATAATCAACTATTTCACTTCAAGGGATTTGGAAAGATGTCACCAGAAGTATGTGAGAGAAGGTACCAACGAACTTCTTCCTCAAAAATCACTACTGAAAGACCTAATATTACTTCTTCTAACCACTGGCAATATACAAATCTGAGAACATTTTAAGCCTCTCTAAGCTGGTAAAAACACATGGCTAAAAATCAATGATAGTTACAGTTAAATTTCATTGCTAATAAATGATTTTATATAACAACTAGTTAATTTCATCTTTTTCTTCTGTTTTTGGTAGTGGTGGGGATTGAACCCAGGGCCATGAGCATGCTAAGCAAGTGCTCTACCACTAAGCTATTGCCTCAGCCTTTAGGGTCTCATATGTACCTCAAGCTGGTTAAAACTCACTATGTAGCCTGGGTTGACCTTGAACTCTCAATCCGTGCCTCAGCCTCCCAAGTGCTGGCATTACAGGCATGTACCAACACACCTAGCTTTATATTCATTTTATAGTACCAGTAATCCTCTGATTTTAATCTTTTATGGAAACAGCCATCAAAATATATTTTTCCTTCATTCAAACATGCCAGGCTAAGACTAATGTTTATGAATAATACACAATTCTACAAGGCTATAAGATAATTTAGAAATTCTGAATTAAGGTTAATATACTTTGACAGTCTGAAATTATCTGCTTTCTAGCCTATGAATAAAAAATATCCCAGTTGCCTTATGAACAAGACTCCGCCAGGACTTTAGAGACACCATACTGCTTTTCAGAAGTAAAAGAAAATGCTCCCGTGCTCGTGGCAACATTATTTCTCCCTTTACTTCTGCACAGCATGCTGTTTGTTATTTAGGATACAAAGCTTATTTGGTTTCTTTGTGATGAAGCTACAGTCACAGAATCCTTTTACATTCCTTGGGATAAAAGGAATTTTACAAATTATTCAATAAATCTCCAATTTTCTATTTTTCAGAGCAATTTTTGCTATTTTCCTGCTCACCTCTGTGTCATTATTGAGATTCCACAAATCTAGTCTCCCCATGCCATCCACACAGGCAAATAGAGCTGGGTGGGTGGGTGACCACATAACATCATAAACGTAGTCAGAATTATCTTCAAATGAGTACAAAGGTTTGTTATTCTGAAAGGGAAAAGTTGATTCTTAGCACAGCCAAAATATAATATACATACAAATCATTAAACTACTTATCACTGAAAAATAATATGACATATATTCAACAGGTGTAACACTTTATGATATTTAACTCAACCTAGGAAAATTTCCTATAATTTGTTTTACTATTGAATTACTTAGCATTATAAACTAAGAACCAACTACTGGATTACATTTTTTTAAAATTTGTAGATGCCATACTGCTTTTAAAAAATGAATAGAATGTGTTTCAAAACATTTGTCAGTGAGAGGATTCTGGGACCAAGTCATAAGTAAGGAAAAGAAAATTAGAATGTCATCAGATTTTGAGACAGCAATGCTTTTTGCCAGAAGACGACAGAATAATATTTTTAAGGTACTAAAGAAAGAAGATTTTATATATAACCAAACCAAACTTCATAACCATATAGTCTTGTGAATATGATAACAATGCGTCCTTGAGAGCCTTCTCAAAAATCTATTATAGAATGAGCTTCTGATGACCAACAAACTGAACAGACATCACCGCATGGTCTGGCAGATAACATAAGTCATTCTGTGAGTATAAGCTTCCCTTTATGGACATAGAAACAATATCTGTAACTATAGATGAGAATATAAATAACACCACAGGAATGTAAAATTTAAACCAAAAGAAATTCTACAGTGCAATCAACTTGTTTTCTTCTTCAAGAACAAAAGAGCAAAAAAGAGAGAATGAAACCCTGTTTTAACAGGAATTTTAAAGATAGGTTAACCACAAATGTGTGCGCCTCATTTGGATCCTGCTTCAAATAAATGATTTTTAAAAATGAACATTGATTTTTGTTCATTTTGATTTTATCAAATGAACAAATCATTGTTAATTTTAGGGGGTATAGCAATAATATGGTGATCTTTTAAGAGGAAACTTTATCTTTTAGAGATAAACTCCGAACACTTATAGATGAAATGATATGTCTAGGTTTATTTTAAAATAATACAGGGCTATGGAGGTATAGCGGGAATGTGCATGGCTATAGACAATACTGGTCATATGTTGATAATTGTGGAAGCTAGGTAATGGGTACAATGGCTTCATTATATTAGTCCCTCTGCTTTTGTATCTATTTAGAATTTCCCATAAGAAAAAGTTTTAAACTTCTGTCAACAGCAAGATAATTTTAGTAGCCAAAAAGGTTTGTTTTTAATTAAAAAAATCCTATGGGTTGGGAGCACAGTTCAAATGGTAGAATGTCTGTCTAACAAGCATGAAGCCCTTAGTTCAAACCCTAGTAGCTCTCCCAACACTCTCCAAATTTTTAACAGAACTTAAATCTAAGGTAACCAAAGAAATTAAGAGTTTTTTTTTCTGGGCTGGGGGTATAGATCAATGGTAGATCACCTATCTGCCAAATGTGAAACCCTGGGTTCAATCTCTAACACCACACATACACAACCACTGTTTACCTGTTGCACTCCCTGACAACACTGTCAAATGAAGTCTCACTCTCAAGAAATGGTTTTCAATTTAGGATGTGCACCAAAGTTATCTGCAGAGTCCTTAAAACTACAGCTAGCCCAGGTGCTGGTGGTTCACACCTGTAATCCTAGTTACTTGAGAGGCTGAAATCAGGAGAATGGCAGTTCCAGGGTAACCCCAAGCAGAGAATTCATGAGACCCTATCTCAACCAATAGTTGGGCATTCTGTCATATACCCATCATTCCAAACTATGTGGGAGGCTAAGATCACAGCTCCAAGGCCAGCCCAGGCAAAAAAAAAAAGTTTGCAAGACACCATCTCAATAATAACAACAACAAAAAAACTGTGAGTGGTGGCATGTGCCTGTCATCCCAGGTACTGCCGGAAGCATAAATAGGATTATGGTCCAGGCCGGCCCAGACAAAAAGCAAGACCTGCTCTATCGCTTGAGCCACACCTCCAGCCCTTTTAGCTCTGGTTATTTTGGAGAAAGGGTATCACTTTTTGCCCAGCCTGGCCCGGACTACAATCTTTTTATTTTAAGCTTCCCGCAATTGTTGGAAAGACAAGTGCACACCACCAGGCATACATTTTTTCTGTTAAGATGGAGTCTGGCAAACTTTTTATGACTGGAGAAATTACTCAAACAATGTATGCATATGTGAATAAAAGAATTAAAAAAAAAAACTTTTGTGACTGGGCTGGCCTGGACCCCAATCCTTCCAATCTGAGCCTCTCAAGTAGTCAGGATTACATACAGGTGTGAGCCACCCATGTGCAGCTTAAAATATTTTTTAGTTATTAGTGATAAATGGCAGAGAGACAGCAGGAAAGAGATGCAGAGGGGCCTGGGAATTAGTCTCTCATCTTAGGCCTACCAGTAACTAGTTACAAGGATTTAGAAAAGACACAACAGGCTGGGTACTGGTGGTTCACACCTGTAATCCTAGCTACTCAGGAGGCAGAGATCAGGAGGATTGTGGTTCTAAGTCAAGCCTGGGAAAATAGTTCATGAGACCCTATCTCGAAAATACCCATCACAAAAAGGGCTGGAGAAGTGGTTTAAGGTGAAGGCTCTGAGTTCAAGGCCTAGTACAGGGGGGAAAAAAAGTAAAGAAAAGTCACAACACCCTTCTAAGACTGTCACTTTTTTTTTTTTCTTGGTGGCAATGGGGTTTGAACTCAGAGCTTTAGGCTTGCTAGGCAGGTGCTCTTACTGCTTGAGCCACTCCACCAGCCTTAAAAGTTTGAATGATATGGTGATATTTACATTCCTTTTGTTCCCTGTTTGTTTTTGGTGGCTCTGGGTTTTGAACTCAGGGCATCATGCTTGCTAGCCAGGCACTTTACCACTTGAGCCTCTCCACCAGCTTTGTATCACTGATTCTAAAGCTAGACTGTACATTGTAATCACCTAAAGAATTTTAAAAAAAATATGTTGTTGCCTGGGTCTCTTCCTTGGAGAATCTGATTTAATTGGTCTGGGATGCCAGGTGAGCACTTAAAAAAGTTTTAACTATTGCTTGGGTGCCTCTAATGTGTGGCCAAGACAAAACCATTGAACTAGATAATGTCTATAGGTCTCTGGAGTTCTAAAGTTCTCACTCGCAAATGATGTACAATATATATTTGCCAAAAAGGACAAATCAAAACAAAGGGCTTCTTGGAAAGATAGATAGCATGTGAATAAGCAAAGATAGCTCATTCTGGTCCAGCAGTGAGAATAAAAATTGTGTGGTCAAGGGACAGGATAATTTTTTTTATTTATGTTCGTTTATTCACATATGCATACTTTGTTTGGGTCATTGTTCCCTCTTACCCCCCCGCCCCTTCCCTCTCCCCCAACCCCTCTGACAGGCTAATTTTTTTCTAAGTTTGTTATATACGGTTTGAACATTGTTCCCCTAATATTCATGTCTACCTGGTACTAATAAATACGACCTTATTTGGAAAAAGGTTCTCTGTAGACATAATTAAGTAGGTCATACTGTATTAGGGTGGGCCCTACATCTATTATGACTGGTATCTTTAAAAGAAGAGAAAAATTTGGACACAGAGCCATGGTGAGACAAACAAGTAGAATGCCATTTGATGACACAGCCAGAGATTGGAGAGATGTAGCTGCAAGCCAAGGATCACTAAAGATTCCTGGCAATCACCCAACCTAGCTCTCCTCAGATTCTCTCTGAGAAACCCCAAAAGCAAATCAGCCTGTCAACATCTTGATTTTGAAATTCTAGCCTCCTGAAGTGTGAGAGAAGACATTTCTATTGTTTTAAGACTCCATGTGGTAATTATTTATAGCATCAATTGGAACCTAGTACAGATAATTTTTCAAAGCTTGAGTAACTGGGGAGTTCTAAATTAATAAAGAGAGTCCCTATAGTAAATATCTGAAGAGTGAGGTGCTCACTAAAGAACTGGTAAATATGTCTTTAAGTTGGATCATAAGAGAGATAAATAGGTTCCCTTTAAAAAGAAATCATTCTAAGATCAGAAATAACTTCCTATTTAACCTAATTTAAGATACTTTTTTTGAGGAATATGTCTACTAAAAGCAATGAAATACAAAGCAGCAGAGTCTTACAAGAAAAAGGCAGTATCCATTTTAGTATTGTCCAGGAAAGAGGAGTCTCAGATAACAGAGTGTGAGAATTACTACCCCATGGCAAGGCTATCTCTATTTAAATATGAATGAATCAAGCTATCTTAGCTTGATGCCATTTGAATATTCAAATTATAAAACTTCTTTTGTTCTAATTCCTTGCTCCCCAAGCAATCTTCTGATTATAATTTGGCTTCCCATGTGGGTTGTCTACAGAGAAACAATGAGCTGGTCAGGCCAGCAGGAGTATCTGGGCCTTCTAGCAGTTAGGTTTCTGACTGTAAATTAATAAATCCACATTCTCCAATGGATCAGTGTCTTAGAAGCCTGTTAGTACTCCCTGTCTAATCAACTCTAGTTGCTAACAAAATTGAGTTTCTGAATATGCAAAGGAGAAGCTAGTCACTAGCCAGCAGCAAGTTACTGAGGTAAATGATGCTAGGTGGGACTGGGTCTAGACCATACCAATCAGTTTTCCGTCAAGAAATACCCCAACTTCAAAGTATTTTTTCATTTTAACTTGTCTAATGTTGCACAATTGTTTTTCTAAGCATTAGTAGGATACTTTAACTCTATTTTAATGTCCACACCCTCTGAGAGTTAAATAGGTAAGCTGTTAAAATAAGGATAGGCTTCTTTGAAACATCAGAGACAATGAAAAATTTAAGATACATATGCACTTTTAAAAAAAGTCCAAAAACTACCTATTCTAAGAAATTACCTTATCAATAATCTTCACTTTGTCACTTCATGGTAAACATGGTTCAGGAAAATGTTTGTTCTGAAAATAAGATATACTGGGTATACATTAAAACATCTCCCTCAAATAAATAATACTCATATTTTAAGAGCAACCTGTAGCAAGTATGCTTAAATGTGGTGGAACATTCAGCTAATATGCCATTTCTACCCCCAATCAA